GCGTGATAACGTGTCGCGAGAGCGAGACGCGGAGCGGCTCGGGCCGGCAGAGGGTTATTTTTTGGCTGGTGACTCTGATCTCACCTGGATGAGGAACAGCGCCTGCAACAAGAGGTTAAACAACATGTCGGCGATGATTTTGCTGACGCTGGGAAAGGGATGAGGCTTTCTGCCGGAAACTTCGAACGCTAGATCCGCGATGTCCTGCAAAAAAAGGGGCTTGAAGGAAATGAAATTCGAAAGAGAAACGGGGGCTTCAGGGAAACAAAAATCCAAGCAGCCAGGACGATGTTTCTGAGCTGCTTTCGCCCGCCAGGAATACACCCAGAGCCCGTTTTCGGGGTGGGATTTCGTCTCGCACGAAAACGCCACCCCCCACACCGCCGGATCGAGCCTTAACGCGGGCGGCCGGCACCCTGGGTTGCTTGACGCAGCGTCGGGGTTCCCGTCACCTACCTGAAACCAGATGGCATTGACAACCTTACTGAGCACGAAGAGGGGAAGGACCCAGAGGGCGCCGAAAATGGAGGTGAGGATGAACTCCAGCCACGACCAGACGTCTCCGTGCAGGGAAGGGTCACCTTCGAGAGACGAGACGGAAACTCCTCGTTTCACATCACAAACCCCCGTTAAACGTTTCCTGGCGCGGCCGTCTCCGCACCGCGGTGAACTTCTCCTGACTGCAGCGCTCGAGGACAGGAGACATCTCCGGCACCAACCTTTGCTCTTTAAAAGAGCATTCCCACCCACTTGCTTTTTATTTACTTGCGAAAATATTCTGACAACCCTCTGTGTTTTGAGTGGTAAAACCCATGGGCTAGAGACCCCTGACACGTGGCACAGCTCACAGACTGTTAGCGGGGTTATCCGTCTCTGTGCTTTTCTCCTAAACAATTAACGACGGCCTTGATTGGTACAGGGAGGAAGAGAAAAACAAGGCAAGGAGACAGCCCCCCACACCCACGGACTGCTCAGCGCCCCGTAACGCACAAACAGGAAAGGTACTTACCGATGATCTGTGCCGTGACTGACTGAAGGACAGGTATAAATACTCGGTAAAACAAGAAGAGACTAAGCTACAGGGAAAAAGAAACAAGAAGGGTTCTCGGTGAGGCGTTGCACGGTCACTTCTTGCGCTCCTGTAACTCCCGACCTGACGGCAGACCCTCTGCCCGCTCCGCCACGCAGCGATCCATAAATACAGAGAACCAAGGATCTCTGTTTAAACACAGCCAAAATCTGTGATAATTTTAACATTTCCACGCCGATTCCTCATACCCGGCCACAGTCTAACGGAAAAACAAAGCTGGTGATTTATTAGGCTGCCAAGTGGCTGCTCCATTAAGGAACAGCCAGATGAAACAGCCGTGGTAAGGTCAGAGCTGAGGAAATGTCTTTAAGATATCAATATTCAATTTGGTAAAGCAACATCTCAGACTGCAACAGAGCAGGAGTTGAGTATTTGGGCGAAGAGCAGTCTCAAAGACTCGGAAAAGCAGCTCGGGTTTAAGGCGCGGGTTTCCCCAAGCGACTCTACGGTCCTATATCCCGTATCCCTAACACGGCATCGGGACCGGGAACTTGGTGGCTCCTGTCAACCCCTGACGGCTCACCGCTGGCAGCGTACACGGGCTGGAACGGGGTGCTGGCTTTCACGGGGTTTTTAATGTCAAAAATAACAAAAATAGCCACTCACCCAGAAAACACCTCCGTTCCAGGCACAGCACTGAAATATCCGGCTCACTATCCGGGGTTCACTGCAGAGCAGGAGGAGAGAGACGGGTGAGACACGCGTTGAGGTCCCAGCGCCTGGACAAACGTCCCCTAACAAGTGACAACTGCTTCTGTCCCACGTTTTGGAGACCTTAGAAATGCCGCAGATAACCAGCTCAACGCCGGTGATGCACCCGATTTTATCTGAACGCGGGAATCCTGGAAGAAATCCCCGCACAGACTTGTGCCAAGTTTCAGCCTATAGAAGATTTACCTCAGGGAGACTCTTTCAACCTTTATTAATTCCCCGTATCTGCACTGAAATGGAAGAAAAGCAAAGCTTTCTTCCAGATTTTTAAGCATTTATTAGAGAACCCAGGCTTTGTTCTCCTCCAACTCTCGCCACAATAAAATTAGGGCTTTTCGGGTGCTTTTTGTTCTTGGAAGAGGCTGTTTCAGCTCGGGGTGGTTTTGCCTTCTCTCTCCTTGCAAGCGTATCTAGGGACGCACACGAGAGCAGCTCCGTGGGACTCCGTAGCGCTTTTCCAGTCAGCTTCTGCTACCAAAGGGACTTTGTCACAAAGAAAAACAGCAAAACACGACTGTTTAGTCGCCCCCAAAATATATATAATTCCTCAAGGGCAGCCCATCTGCAGGAACCTCTGTGGTCTGGGGAGGATCGGGATCATGGGACAAGGGAGACTTTTCCATCCTCTTGAGATAAAGTCAGACTACCACCGAGCTAGTGAATAATTTGTAAATATGTCTTGAAAGGCGCATTACTGACCAAACGCCACCGCGTTAAGTGCCAGCCCGACTGTAATTAGGGCAGTGGAGAAACATCTCAGGGCGGTTTGGGAGTCAGATACAAGAACAGACGCTGTTTTACTCCCACGTGGATATAATTCTGGCATTTCCAGCTTTCGTGGATGCAACCGCTACAGACGGCTGCAGAACACGGTGAGGCTGGGGAAAAAATGATACTCGATCTGCCCCAGACGTATAAATCAGATCCGAGCTGCCGTCTCTTCCCTGATCCCATGGCTACCAACAACGACGTATCTTTGAGAGACAGCACCAGTATTCAGGAAGAAAAGACACCCAGAAATCCACGTTCTTTCAGCTTGTATCGCTCCACACCTCCTATTATTATTATTTCAAACTAATTGCGTACTCTTAACTGTCAAACAACATAAAAGTCTGACTTCTTATCTCACGACAACAGTTCCAGTTTCATTACACAGAGTGGAAAAAGGGCGTTTCACATCACGTTTTTCGTATTTATTTGCTCTGTGCTTCAGCGCAATTGGGTTTATGAACCACTTGCAAACGTACACCACCAGTTCTGCTTCCGCTGACACCCAGGTCGCAGGTCTCTGACAGTTCTGGCAAGTATTTTTACAGAGATCTTCCCAAGTGCGGGCAGCAATAACAGCTTTATTTCTTAAATCCCACTTAGCTCAACTTCCCTTTTAGCCAGACTACTGCGATACGATGGATATTTAGAGAAAAAAAAACAAACACAAGCACTGCCAAATCACTATGACTTGCAGAGGTTTTGCAATTCATCGGGCTCTTCAAAGCTCCGGGCAGAGTCGCTCTCTCTCCCCCTGCCCTCGATAGACTAAAAGACGCGAAGCGAATTACCCGACTGATGACTCGTCAGGCCCCACACTCACTTCTCTTGCTTCTTCTCTTCCATGTGAAACCTCCGCTGGGCGAGCGCGCTGTTTGCTCTCCTTCGCCTCTGCTCTTCCCTTTTCTGCTGGATCCGGGCGTCCAGCTTGGAGATGGTGCAGATGCCCCAGATGGAGTCCTTAATTCCCTGCGGACGCGAGGAGAGGCCGTCACACTCCACCCGGCAGAGAGAGGGGGAATGGCCGACCCAGGCCATGGAAAACCTCCCGGTTACGGAAAGGGACTTAAACGTGGCCAGCCTCGCTCCCCGGCTAGCAGGGGAGGCCAGCACCAGGCTCAGCCGGAGCCAAGGTTTGGAGCAGCAACACCGAGTGTTTTCCACGGCCCCGTGACCTAAATCACCGCACGTTCCAGCACCTTTAGGAGCAGCGGTATTTTTTTTTTTTTTTAAAAGGTGTGAATTCTCATCCCATCTCCGCTATTTATAACCCTGGCAAAAGCCAAGGAGTCAGAGCTCTCACTGCCTTCTTCTGTCTGGCAGAAAGCCCTTCATCCCCCGCCAGCATTTCTGAGGCCAAAAACCAGAATTATACAAAATATTTAGGATGTGCAAAGTCCTTGTGGCCTGACTGTATGTCTGAGCTGGATGCTTTACTCCTTTAGAAATCAAAGCATCTGTCCTTGTCCCAGAAACATCCTCGCATCAGCCGCATCTGTGCAAACCCGTTTCATTTAAGTGCCACCTCCTAGTGCCCCACGAGCAGTGATTTCCAGCTCCAAAAATATATCGTAGCCATAACTATCAACAATTCACGTGAAAATAAAGACCGTAAGGACACTAGCGTGAGCCAGGACAGCGTCACGACCCAGGTAACCCACACGACAGTTCGGTATATGGAGTTTTTGACCAAAGAGAATAAATTTTGATGCCAAATGGGCGTCTGAAACAGCAGAACATGATGCTGCTGGTACCTAATGAGGTGGAAATTAATTACACAGTGGGCTGCTCTACCCGCTGCTTTACAGATGGTGCAAGAGCATCGTGAAACGACACAAGTCCTCCCGCGTTACATCGTGGCCAGCACGCCATGGATCTTTAAGATCAAAGCCAGCAAGTTTTTCAAAACAAGTTATTTCTGAAAACAAGTTATTTCTTAGTGTCATGTCACAGATGTTTTTAAGACTGTATTTACACCTGGATGATACAGGACAGCGTGGGAGTACTGAGTTCACAGGAAGCCTTATCACCATGACACAACTGTGGTGTTCATACGGGCTATAAATTAACTCGGATCTTTAAGATCAAAGCCAGCAAGTTTTTCAAAACAAGTTATTTCTGAAAACAAGTTATTTCTTAGTGTCATGTCACAGATGTTTTTAAGACTGTATTTACACCTGGATGATACAGGACAGCGTGGGAGTACTGAGTTCACAGGAAGCCTTATCACCATGACACAACTGTGGTGTTCATACGGGCTATAAATTAACTCTTGCCC